GTCGGCCCACCTCGGCCCACCGATTCTTTTGACTCACGGCCCAACTCAACACGGCCCAGCAGTCCAAAAATCCTAGTTACGCCATTGGTTCTAGGAGACCTAAGGAACAGGAGTTAAAGGAAAAATACCGAGACCGGATTCACGGTTAATTTTTCTTTTTTGTCTTTAATCGTACATTCATTCGATTATGCTAACCTACCATTAATCATACTAGTACCAACATATATTCGTTCACTTAGCTAAGCACATTTCTAAGCCTATAAGTTTCTTACTAGATGAGCTAACGGGGTCAATCAATCGTCATTTTGTAGAGCGTTTTTTACTGCATCTTTTCTTCATAGAGACAAATTTACAACCACTTGTTTCACTATAGAAAAATTTATTATTCAAATCGAGTCAGGACTTCTGGCCCATCCTTTACTTGTATTACCATTTACATTGGTACGTGTACCATCAACCACAAGTCGGAGAACACTTCCAGTCATTTCCGAAGCTTGTACATAGAGATGATCTTCTTCACGTATCTTACTACGATCTCTAGGAAGTTTTTTCCATTCATTTTCAATTTCCTGCCGTGCCAGTATCAGAAAACATTCACTCGCCTGTATATATCTACTTTCTGTACTCTGCTCATTTGTCGTCGTTTCTGCACTAATACTATTCCATTTCATTATAGCGTTCAACAGTCGTCTAGAAGTACTCTTGTTCTGAGGTTCTTTTAGTTCTATTTCGGTTATTAAATCAACATATAAAAATTCAGTAAAACGTTGTTTTAATAGTTGTTTATTCAGATGAACTAGACTGTCAATTGTATTTGTTGAATAGGGATTTATTGGATCGGGAATGAACGTATGTTCCTGCATCCTGTAAGCTAATGCAGTGAAACGTGAGTGCAGATCTTCTAGAATATGTTTCTCGTCGTGGTTACTGTTACGTACAGTCTGTAACCATTCTAGATGATTCAAAATATAATTTTGATAATCCGGCAGACAGTCTTTTTCAAAGATATTGTAGTTAGTAAAGATATGTTTAAGAGCTAACTGAACACGTTCATTTGGATCAAAATTCTGATGAATATTATCGATGATTGTATTCATTTTGTCAAACTCATTGGATGCTGATTGTTCAGACATAACTGTACATCTGGCTATGATCTCATTAATCAACTTGTTTAATTTATCTTCGCCATTTTGCACTAGCAGTTGTATTTGTGCTCGTTCACTCACCATTTTACATTATGTTCTTAGTGCATTAAACATTTTAATAATTTGTACTTTTAAAAACTGTCTACTCCTCATACAAATTGTATCAGATGTTCTTAACAATTTTAAACGATTCTCGAGTTCATCATTCAACTCATCCTGTTTCTTCTGTATTTTAGGCAGAAGAAGATCTTCAATTTCACGTTCATTCTTACTTGCAGATTTACTGGTAAGTTGATCGCAATATTTGGAAGAGAATTCCTGAAGAAGTTTCGTGCTTATGTACTCACGTAGTTCATTGTCCTGACGACGTTCATTTATATCACGGTAATAGGTTAGATCAGCAAATTTTTGTAAAGTATTAAATATTGTAACTGAAGATTTAAGGCAATGTAGAGGATCAGTAAACTGTTCAGAAGAACGCGAGAGACATTCTATTGCTGAGTCAATAATTTCACCTGTCAGCAATTGTACTAGTTCAAGAAAGTCCGGCTCAGTTTTTATCAAATACGGTAAACTGGTATGATTCAGTGGGCCACGTTCTTTCTTGAATGCATTCGGTAGAGTATGAAATGTTTCCAGTTTAATATTCCACTCAGATCAAAAGCTTTCAGATCCGTTATGATGTTATCAATTGCTGCTTTATGATTTTGAATGTTTAAATCAGCTTTCTGGTTTAATACAAAGTGGACAATTGACTGCGGAATACGGCTGACACCCATTTCTTTCAGGGAATCAGCACACAATGTTAACATTGTCTTCAGCGATTCATTTACTTCGCCGATCATGTTGACAATAACTAAATGTGATACAGCTAAACATAATAATACTAATGCTCGATCGAATTCTTTATCCTCACGTTCTACACCGAACAAGCCTTCAGTATCAATTAGCAGAATATAATCAAATTCACGTCTGTTTGATTTCATAAATGAACCGTAGATACCACGTGTACATCGGCCGTCGCGAATATCAAAGAACGTGCCAAACATGTAGTTCAGCAACGTACTTTTTCCCGAATTTTGTGGTCCAAGAACACTGATTATCAAAACTCTATTATTCGAGAAGTACGATGCCATTTGTGATGATAATACTTTTGTTAGAAACAAATGTGGAAAATGATAGCTATCACCGTCAATTATTTCAAACGGAAGACCGGCTTCAGGCGACTGAAGATAACGTTGTATAATTATTTCTTCGACATCCGACGGCTGGTAACGAGTACACACGATTGCATTACGCCAAAGGACTTCCAGAGATAGATTTCGTTCAATCGGCAACTGTTTTGCCATATCACCGGTTGAAATGAAACGATCACATTCTTCTTTCAGTTGTGCTGCTAAGAGATTTAGGCACATCAGAGCATTGGGTGCTTTTAATATTTTTACAAAGAAATCAAAAATAATACCACTATCTTTGACTGAGTTCTGTCTTGCTTTTAGTTCAATAATACCTTGACGAACTTGGTGTATAACAAAATCATCTTCTCCGTAGAAATTAAGTTTTAATAATTTTTGTTATAATTTACATAGTTCAACAAAATTAGAATATTCTGGATAGTATTTTTCTACATAATTCTCATTTCTGACTAACTGAAGTAATTTAAGTTTTAACGGTGTAATTGTCCTTTCAATTTTAGTTAAATGCTCTTTATAATTATTGTCACTTATCAGACGCTTCAATTCATTTTTAATAAAATCTTTGTCATTCGTAGGAGATGGAAATGTCTGTTTCACTACGAGAATTTCACTTAGTGTTCTAATCAACTGTTTACTCTGTTTATTTTGATTAGCAATAGATGGTAGCATAAATGTTTGAATACGGCTAGAGACACGTGTTAGAACTAACGAATCGTTTTGATTAAGTTGTGATGAAGGCGAATCACGAATAAGAAGCAGACAAAATTTTCTACTCGTTAATATGTCGCTGAAATCGAGAACAGTTTCGATGTTCTTCAGGAGATACGAATAGTCAACGTGCAACAGAAAACCATCGAATAACTCGTGGATTTTACAGAGTAACTGTTTTGTCATTCTCCCATGTGTATCGGCAATGTTCAGACATCGTGGCGATGTCCTCAAGAAACCGTAACCAAAATCAATATCAATTGTCTGCTGAAAATAAATGGACGATGATGATTCTTCGAATGTTGACATGAAAAGAGCGTTCAATAACGTTGATTTACCGGAACACTGACCAATGCCGAACGACAGAAGTGTCGGCATTTCATAGTTCCATATGTGAATAATTTCAGGTACAATAGAGTATTGTGATGTTGTTGTTGAAGGATTAAGAAATGGAACGGGATTACGCTTAGACAACAAGGTCATAATCATTCGACTTAAGGATACATCACATTTCATTAGAAGAAAATGTATTAGTATTCGTAAACTAACTTTTGGTAGTTCAGTTACAGATAAAAATATTTGTGAGAGTTTTGACGATAGAGCTTCCATAAAGTCATCTAAATTTTGATAACGTTTAATCAAATACATTATTGGAATTAGACATTCATCGACGAACAAAGGAAAATTGTTAGTCTGACGAAATTGAGTGACGATGACTGATAGAATTTCATCACGTTTTTTACCAATGTACATTAGTTCACCGGCTTGAACTAACTCGGATAAATTTAGTTTTGCTGCATCGCTGTTCTTGACACACGATAAAATTGAACGTTGTTCTTTATTGGCTGCAGCTGCTATTCGATTTTGTTCTCCAGTTTCGATAACTAAAACATAGAGAAGAAACTTAGAACGCATTTTTGCTCTTTAGAAAACTACATGTCGTACTTTTGCAGACGCAAAACCTTTTAGTGCACTGTCCGTCCGCTCCCCTCCCTCTAAGCAGCGCACCAAAATCTACCTCACTCTAAATGAATTTTAGACAGTGGTAATCTGGTAATCGGACGAATGATAGATTTCTCCTCAGTTGCAACTATCGATTTAGCTATTGTTAGTTGTGCATGCAGACGCATCTAGTTAAACTTCCCACTTCCAACTAGTAATCTAGATGACAACTAGTCGTGTATCGTCTGATTACAGAAGAAATGTATCTCGATTTTTCTCATAGGTGATACTTGCTTGGGTCTTATTATTTGGAAAATGAGTAGGGTACAGTCATGCAACTGTTTTGTTTTGTGCGGCTGTAGCCTGCTGGTTCAGCAGTGGCAACTAACTTAGTAAAAAAGACGACATCACTCACCGTTAATTCCATAAGTGGGGTGGTTCGGTTTGATCGAGATGCACTCATCAATATCCAGATTGCTATTTGTTTGATTATCTGCTCGTTCGTTGGGCGAAAACGGTGATTCCAAAAGTCTATGTTGCGATTGGACTTCTTTGACGTGAATAATAGGGAAACCATCATCACTCTTTCTCATTCCTACCACTTGAAAATAAAAACCGGGCAGTAACAAAATCTCATTTTCATCTTCAATCTGTGAATGTGGCGTGATTAGTCTACCACTCTCACATTCAATACAGAACAGTGTTCGACAACCAGATATACCAAGAAAAGGATCAGCTACTTCAATTGATTCTGTACAGCTACTGAAACCCCACCATGCACGTTTATCACCCGGTTCATACAATGTACTTAAATCTACGTTGGTTCCACGCCAAACCGTCTTTTTAACTGCTGGTAGTTTGCATAATGCCGTCAGAAGTAATTTCAAATAAGGAAGCCAAGGAGGTAGAGATTTTGCTCTGTTTTTCGAACGTAACATTTCGTTAAGGTGCTTATGAATACTTCCCATTGTATACAATCGAATAGCAGCAGATTCATCTTGTGTTAGATTATCGCGAGGATGTTGACAGTTTGCTTTGGCTATCCAAACACTTTCTGGTAATTTGTCAATCATAGCTTTAGAGGTTCAACAGCCATCTCCAGTGATACTAAAGGTAAATTTCCATAACCTCCTATTGGCTCCAAATGTATCACTGATTCATCCCCAATATCAACGTAACGCACTCTTGGACCAGGTTCCATTTGGGCCAATGATTGCTTCCCTTTGATGCGAAGAGGTTGTAGTAATAAACGATAATACTTAAAACTCACATAAATACATAAAATGCATCATTTCTTTCAGGGTTCCAAAACACGTATGTGCGAATTTCTTACATCAAAACAGGTTTTTTCATGCTCTTAAAATGAACTTCAACTTCTAAAAAACAGAAAAGAAGTTGATCAGATAACACTAAAGATAAAGTATACCAAAAAGAAAGAGAAAGAAATTTACCTAGAGAACAGCAAAAGAAACAACAAAGAACAGCATTAGAACAATAAAAAGACATGACAAAATTAAAATAAACATGAACATTTAGCACTAATTCTCAGTAGAGAGAAGGAAAAGGATATAGCACGTAGGACATGGCACAAGAGGAAAAAGCCTCACTTCAAGTGCCTTTAAGTGTGTGCACCTTCAAGTTAAGTGTCACTTTAAGTGCCTAAGTTCTAAAGTGCCAGTTAAGAGATTAAGTGTCACTTACAATTCCACATCTTCCTGGAAAATCAAGAATTTTAGCTCACTCTTGCTTTTCTCTCCTGTATGTCACGAAATATGAATTGTATGAACAGTAGTTAGTCTGTGTCATAGGAACCTGTTTGTTTTCATCAGTTTAATGAACAAAGTTAGAAAGCATCTACAAATGTCAGTAA